TTTCTGCTGTGGACAGCCCTAACGCTTCCTACAGCCGCTTTCCTAGCACAGCTAATTCCAAAGACTGTCAGAAATAAAACTCTTGCAGGTGACCAAATTTATCTAGTAGGGAGACACAAATCTATTAAATGGGGAGAGATGTGGCCCTCCATCTGTGTTCATGTGTTCAGTTCTAAGATGAGCGTGTGGCGTCTGATCTTTTATGTTCCTTACAACACCTACTTCAGCTTTCACCCCAAGTCAGCTAGTGACTAAAAGGGTAAAATCTGCCTTGCCATCTTATACTTTCTTCATAGCCATGGGCTAGTTTTTGTTGTTACGAGCAGTATTCATGCATATAATGAATATACAGTAGATTTGATGAGCTGGAGCCTTCTGTTTCGTTTGTTGTTTCAGTGAGTTGTTCTGTTGCAAGCAAAATGTTTCCTTGTTTTGACAGAATGTGTGTTACTACCACCGATTTAACATGCCTCTCCCCAAAAATATATCATATGATAGAATTACTTCATGGAAAGCCAAGTGGCAGTGTTTAACAAGTTAAAAGGTATGGAACTGTGTTGTCACTCATTTAACGGTTTGCCTGAGCTACGTTGTTGTTAATCTCTGGATAAAACCCAATGAGTGCTTCTCATCAGCTTTATCATTCTGATAATGATCAGATAGGAGAACTAGAGGTGTAAAACTAAATAGCTGTATTACAGACCTCAAATCAGATAGAAGGGCTGGTTTAGTTGTTAAAATTTCTCACATCCTTATTCTTCCTGTAATTCTATGAGAGCATTTCGGGCTGCTTAGGTCACTGCCATCACTCTGGTCAGATGGGAAGCACACTTGCTAATGTCTCCAGTGCAGTCTCTGAAGCAGAGGATGTAGCCAGCGACATGGAAAGGAAGAGTTGGATTTTAGCTACTATGGTAGAACAGGTTTTTCAAACATTTTTATACACTTCTCAGGCACTGGAAAGGCTTCACTGAGCTCTTGATAGGCTGAGTTTATAGGTATTGCTAGTTGCAAAAGCTTTGTACTTTCTTTAAACTTGCCTTTTTTCCTCTTGGAAATGCATTGATATCTCGGGTAACTGTCAGACATTTTAGTTTTAGTATAGTGATCATGGGAGGGGGTGAACTAAAAGTGTACAGCGTGTATTTTATCATGAGAAATAATTAGTGGGGAAGAGAGTTGGGCTGTCATCATTTTTTATGCTGTGTTGAAGCAAAATGAATTGCTAGAGAATGAAGAAAAAGTAATATATAGAGGGCCTTATAGTTTGTGTATTTTTGGGACCTTTGCCTCAGATTCACTAGGCCCAAGTGCCTCACTTCATCTTTTCTCCTCTCATTTCAATTGTTTTGGAAGTGCCAAGAGCATCTTGTTTGATTTAATAAATGTTTTGTCAATCACAGGCAGATTGTTTGCACAGTTCCAGTTCACTTAGGTATGTGTTTATGAAGTATAAGCCTGATAGTTATGATTTTTCTTCATATTCTCTTGTGTTTTGTATTTTTGTAGAGCAGAAAAGAAACATTATATTGTGATAGAGCTGGGATGGTGGCTGACTCACTTCCCTTTTCATCTCCTGAGCTGCAATTTTCTGGTGGTTCAGTTTTGTTCAAGTTTGGCAAAGATAGTGTGGTTATGCACTTCACACTTTGTACTCCTGAGGTAATATTATGGATCTTGGCTCTGCCAGGAATTTGGATTCAGCACTACCCTGGGCTGAATATTTGAGGTGTCAGAAGTGTTTGAAGGGTGGCAGGATGGTCATTTCATCTCATAAAAGTGTATGTGAAAACTAATGGCATAAAACAGAGGACAGAGGCAAGTAGTGCTTCATTAAGGGTGGACAAATATGCTTTCAAAAGAGTAACTGCTTTCCAGAGGGATAAAACAGCAAACTGCTGAGCAATCTGGCTAGAATCCAGAAAGCATCTAATTGTGTACTTAGTTTTAAATATTCAAACACTGCTTTAGTTTTACAGGGAAAATCATGTGTGTAAAGTAAAACAGATTAAACTTGTCACAAAATTAAGCTGTAAGGCTTGATCTATTTCACTGATTTTTGCCCCATGGCTTCCAAGTCATGCTTCCGCCTTGGAGTGATGCTGTATTTCTTAGCACACATCTTCACAGCTGTGTATAACCCTCAGTTTCAGATGGCTCTTGTCGAGGAGGCTTCAGGACATTCACATAAAGCATCCCCAGAATTAAGTTTACAAACACTAAAATAGTAATAGAATGTTGTTTTCTCTGACAACAAATCAGTTCTCTGTCCTTCTCAGGGTAGCAGGTTTCAACTTTTTGTTGCAGGGAACACAGGCAGTAGGAAAAAGATTTTGTTGTAAGTGAGTATGTACATTAGCAGTTAGCTGCTATATGATGGCTAGGAAAATGCACAGAAAAGTTTTGGATAGTTTTAACACATAAAAGTTTTAAGATGAGTTCAGGAAAATGTTTCTGAAAGACCTTAAGGCCAGATCCTAATTAGCGAATGACAAAAATTGTTCAGAAAATAAGACTAGTACTGTAAGAATCTTGCCATAGTCAAAGACTACCATCAGCACAGATGCCTAATTATCCACTGCACTCCCTTGTGGAGTTATATAAGTATAAAGGGCATTGAAATGAGAGCTACCCTGAAAGCCTTTGGCCTGAAAAGCAGGAGCAGTGAAAGATGATTTAACAATGAAAACAGTTTGAAACAAGCTGCGTCTTTTCAGTAACTTCTTTTTTAAGCACTTCATAAGTAACAAAAATGATAAACAATGAAAAAATGTGAGGGCTGGAGTCTCTTCTCTTTTACATGAATTTAATTATGTTTCACTGTTCCATCCCTGATTTTCATTAATGCTAGCAAGGCTGAAATCAAGGTTTACTGTTTCTTAAGCTGCTCAGTACAGACCCATGTGATTCTTTCAAAACAACAGGAGCAAAGAAATCTATGGGTGACATAATACAGCCCCTGAACTTTGATCTTAATCAAGGCAATCTAGAAAGAAACAGTAATGTCATAACTCTTTCAAAGCTTGCAACACTGGAAAATAAAACTGCTATCAGAAACCTATTCACAGAACACTGAGAAATCTCTACAGTACTGTGCCATATGGTGTGTATACTAAAGAGAAAAACTGATTTTTACTTGTACCTGCAGCTCCCACCAATTATAGCGAGAGATGTTGGCTCCCTGTGTGTTGTCATTGACACAGATGGATAAAAACAGATACAGAGCGTAAGATAGAGAATATTATAACTCCGAGCTCTCATGCTGCACCATAGACATGGTTTGAATTCCCTTATTCCTTTTTAGCTTGGAAAGTTCTCTGAGAAATAGCCTTACTGATTAGGGTCTGTGTAAACTAAAACTTCAAGCCTTTGTGTAAGGTTCAGGCTTGAAGGCACAGCAGAAAGAAGTGATCCCCTGGGGCTACGAGACACTTAGCACAGGTCATAAGCTATTCCCGCAGGTGCATGCCCTGTTCATTATGGGGAAATGGATCAAGCAATTTTGTTTCATTGAGATGACCAATTAATGACAATGGTATTGATGTGCCCACCATGAAAGGGTCTTGCTTGTGCTGGGGTTGCACTGGTTGAAGTAACAAAACAATTCCTTTGTCCCTACTCCTCCACAGTCCTCATATCCCACATTGGCATACATGAAGCCAGCCTGACGAAGAACAAACGCTTGGCCTGAGTGCTGCCAGGTCGCAGGCAGCAGAGCCAGAGTTGTTGTGCTGGTATGCACGTTCAGAGCACTCCCTCGCTGAGGCAGTGATAGCACAGGCTCCTCACCAGTGGGGTATCGCTGCACGTGTTTGTGGCAGCAGTGATGGCAGCAGGCTCCAGCTGGAAAGTCCTCATGTCAATCATGGGTGAATTCAATGCTGTTGCTTGGTTACAGTTTATATTCCCAGCTGCATTGGAAAGTGCTCTGAAAGAAGGATAGCTTCAGCCTGACAAGAATTACAGGAGAGGCAGGCCACAGGTTCCGTTTTAGAAACCAAATACACAAATAGTCCTTCCTTTGCAGTCGGCATTGTGATTTGAATGGGCTTCTAGCAGTATAAGAGGTGAGTTGTAAGGTAACAGAAATGAGCTGCTGAGGTTTTGTGTCAACAGCAATCCCCTCCACCTCCAAACTGGGAGCTAGTTTTAAATATAATTAAAAATAAAACAATAAAACCAACCTTCTGGAAGCAGCTAAGGAATAGGTGTAGATTTGAGTGACCAGTGGCTCTTCTAAAAGCAGGTTTTAGTCAATCCAGATGCTGTCATGTATTTCTAGAAGTTCTGTGAATGAGAACCTTGTGACTTGGATCTTATTTGCCCCTTTGTTTTTGGTAGGGTTTCACATGATAATTATCATAAGCAAAAAGCTCAGGAAAGCAAAACAGGATTCACATCAGTAGCTGTACTTGCAGTGCCAAAAAATCACATTCCTGATAGACTAACCTGCAAAAATAAGTGATTTTGAAATTACAAGAATTATCGCCATGTCTCCACAACCATAGGAGATTTTTCTAATTTTACAGCCAGTTTTAAGGTTTTTGTTAGTTTCAGTCTCTCTTACGTTTTCTATTCATCACAATTGAAAAATAATGTTTAATGGCCTTTTTGAATCTTGCTAATGAAGTCTTTAAACTGTGTAACAACCATCCTAAATAGAAGTGAAATTATTACTTTAAATTTGCAAACACAGTGATCCTGATAGGTATGAAGGCAGGTAATATTACATGCATGTGGTGCAAGTCTTTGTTACTAAGTTGTACCTTTGAATCACAGGCTGTGGGAGATGAAGGGTGTAATGCTCTGAGAAGCGATTTTCCAAAGCACATGCTTTCAGTTTAAAAACATTTTATTAAGTGCTATCTGGAGTCAGTGATCAGAAGAGCATGAAAGAGTGCGTGCGGACAAAATGCTTGCAAAAAGTAGGTAAGATTGTGGTAACTGAGTGATTGCTCCACTCTGAAGTCCTAAAGTTTCTGTTCCATGCAAATCTGCAGGTCAGTCCACAGATCTAGAAAGCAGACATAGAAACAGCACATGCAATATAAAATAAGAAGTGACAATCAGAGACATCCTGTGCTTTGGGGGAGAGCTCAGATGACACCCAAAACCTTTTGCCACCCTTGTAAAGATAATGTGAGTACTGTTGTAGTATTAATAAAATTGTAGCTATCTAAAGCAATTAGCTCATAAACAAAGTGGAAATTATATGCCAGTGTTTCAATTTAAAAATCCATTGTTGGAGATCAGAACTAGTTCTTAATGATTTAGAAAACAGGAGTAAAACCACCCAAAATTCATGATGCATGTAATTTGCCATGCGTAGCTCGACAGGCTCCCACTAATTGCTACATGTTCTCTGCAGAACAAATACCAGCTTCGGTGGTGCTGAAGATGTAGGGTTCCTTCTGTTTGTAAGGGGCCTTCTAGGTGTCATTCATAAATTGCTGCTCAGCCACTGGGAACTGGCTCGGGGTGATACTGCTGGGTTCTCTCTGCTTCCATTAGCTTCAGCTGGAGTAGAGGTGATTCAGACTGTACTAGGTCAGGCTTTTTTGTCTGCAGGGCAGGAGGGCTGCTTCTCACTGAGAGTCCACCTATGTTTCTTCTCCAGGCAAATGTCATGTCCGTGGAGGAAAACTCCATTACCTATGCATATTTACATATATTGGCTATACTTGGAGTTACAAACCCAAAGTAATTTCTATAATAGGACGCACCTACATGTTTTATTTCTTTATTTATACTGCACTAGGCAAAACAGAAAAATCACTGCTTCCCATGAGACATTTTTAACATAATCAAGGACGCTGGGATCTTTATCAAATTAGCTTAGACATTCTGCTGATTCCTCTCCCCTCCATGTAGTTTTGACTGATTATAACACATCTATGCCATTGACAGCTGTCTCATTATCTTTAAATGACAGTCCCTGGACTTATTTACTGAAATAGTTAGGTTAAAAATGAATTTTGAGGCTTAACTGTTGCTTGGTTGAAACTAATATTTATCAGTGCTCTTTGCATTTGAGCTGACCAAGGGAAGATTGCAAGAGGCAATAACTGTGGTGATCCTGCCCAATGCAGCATAATTGCAGGGTCAGACTTAACATGTTTTATCTCAGTTTGTTCATAAAGCTGAAAATGCTTTTAGGAGTCCACAGTAGTGCTTCAGTGTGGCAGTTGACCTGCCAACTGGTAGAGATGAAAAGGCCATCCCAGCCCATACGCCTCAAGAGCACTTAACAAAAAATCCCTTTTTTGTGTGTGCATGTATGTGTGGGTATTTTTGTGCACTGGAAAATCAGTTTCCATGAAGAGTACTCAGAAAAAACTGTATATAATAAAGTTTCAAGCATTAAAACATACATAGAGACACCAACCCTTCAATGATCTGAGTTCTCTGAAGTTCTCTCTTTCATTCTGTCCATTGACAATGTCATAATGTTATTAGATAAAAAGAAAAAGAGGGGGTGAGAGGTGGTGGGTTACCCAGGGCATTTAAGGACGAATTCTAAAATAAATTTCTTCCCTGCCCCCCCCCCCCCATCAGACAATTGTTTAATAAAAAGATCTGAGGGCAGATGAAACACGTCACAAAGGAAGAGATCTGCTGAAGTCTGTTACCCATCTTTTTTATAAAAAGACTGAAACCCAAAATAACTGTATGATTTGTCAGAGATCATGGAAGCAGAAATTTGCAGGGGCAGAAAAAAGCAGTCTTTGTAATGAAAAATTAACTTTCTTTGGAGTTTTTGAACTGCAGATGTGGGGAAGGTGGCAGTACAACATGAGAAAGTGGGCTTGCAAGTATGTTCTAAAGGAATCGCAAAGGTAGAGCTTTCTGACATCTTCTGTGATGCACACATGTATAGGTATGTATTGCTTATGGCAATATATAGATATGCAGATATAAATTCATGTTACTTGTACACATATTCTCATTACTAGTGAGTTTTGCTTTTGCAGCACAGTCCGTGATTCCTGTTCGTAGGAGTTTTACTTTCCATGCTTACATGCTTCAATAAGAAGAGCTGAGCCTCTGGCAGTGATGCTGTTGACCTCTCCTCTGAGAGCTATGCAAAATGTTGTTCTTGGCTTTCTTGGTGGTTAAGTAAAACCAGACAGGGCTACTGGGCATTAGCAATAATGTATCAGGGAAAGAAGGTCCAGTTGCTGTGCCAGAATCTGATTTAGATAATGCCTTTTGTGTGTGAAGACTGCAGACTTGTAGATCTCTTCAGTAAGTGAGCATGGGGAATGCTCTGTGTGTTGGTCAACGCTTAAAGTGCCAAGTTTCTGTGATAGTGTCTATCAGTGCAAGTAAGCTGGGAAGTCAAGGATTTGGGCCTCTCTGAATTGTTTCCTTTAGGAAAAGCAATTAGTTATTGATTATCAGTGATGTTCATATATTGATTATTAATTATTAATAGATCAGGTATTGCTTTGACACAATTTTTTTCTTTCTGACAAATAAGCAGTATCCTTTTCCACACTCATTGCTAATGTCTCTATGTAGCAAAACAACAACTTTGTGTTTTCCTGTGGTGCACAATATTGCAGCTGTGGATCTTTCTATCTAGAATCACTTACTCTGTTTTAGAGAAGTAATTATTATTTGAGGTTGCCAGAAATAACCACAAAGCGAACAGCATCTACCCCTTCCGTTAGATTGAAAGTGGTTGCAGTCACCTTCTCCTGAATTATTGAGATAAGAGGTCACAAGTAACAAATGCAATAAAACCTCATTTGCTTCAGGGCTATTAGCACATTTTGGAGATAATTATATAATTTTTCACATATTCCTGGTGATTTACTTCAGTTGCACAATCATCAATTTGAACTTCAGCAATGGAATATTATAGTGATTTCTGCTTGTTTTCCTTATTTCTATAGTAATAATGGTAATTATTAATAAACAAAACACTTTGTTCTGATAAATCATGTTAGGAGAGCCTCTGAAATAAAAAGCAATTCTAAAAGAGCACAGTCACTCGACACATTACCCAGTTCAGTTTCTAAATGGTACCATATCCTCTAGTCTGTTAGCAGACAGAGTTATAACAGCCCTCATCTCCCTTTAGAACCAATGCCATCAGTGGAGCTACACTGGTTTGCATCACTTAAAGGTATCACTAGCATGTTTTAAATACATTGGAAAAATTACTTAACCTATATAATTCCACGTGCTTTCACTGTGTATTGATATTAGAGGTCTATTATTCCAAGTCTAGGGGTATTAGAGCTCCAGGTAAAACCCATTTAGTGAAGATAAAGATTTAAAAGTGGACATGATTTTTTTCAGAGTTTGTTTTATTTAACATAAGTTGTTCTATGTATTCCTGTTACTGGGAAAATAGAAACCTGCTAGTTAAGTGTCTCTAAAAGTCAGTAACATTTATTAGAAGCCGGTGACTGTGTAAATTAGGTATTGGCACACATCTTGCTTATGAGCTAGAATTAGAAAGGTGTGCTAGATTGGCTCAGAGGTGTGGTCAAAGCTACAACTTCTTCAGCTATCTTGAGCTGGCTCTTAATCTCCATCATTACTCATTTTGGTGACCAGACTTCTTTATCCACTTGTCCAACAGATCTAAACAAGGACTTATTTCTTTTTCAGAAGAGTGTATCCCACAGCGTAGCCTCTGATTTTTTTACCGTCAGCTTTAGCTCTGCTGTTTGTGTTGTCATGGCTGCTCACTAGAAGAGCTGTGTTTTTCTTGCTGTCTTTCCTGGAGGACAACCATATTATGGGAGGTCTACAGGACTGCTTTTTTAAGTCCATAGAAATTAGGGGTTAAATCTCAAGAGGTACAGTTGTGTTCTGGAGTCAAGCCCATAACATTACTGATAAATTTCCTGGTATACCGGTGTAAATTGGTGCCTGAATTCAGTGTTTAATTTGCATGGTTTGTTGGACTAAACAAGGTCCTGCAAACACAGGAAGCAGATTTAGCTGCATCAGTAACAGAATTGTGAATTGTTTTGATTACAGAATCATTTATAGCTGCTTACACAACGTCAAGGACACTGATACTAAATTACAAAGTTTGTTAATCAGGCTGGTAAGCAGCAAAGCTTTTTCCCTAGAAACTCTTGTAGGTTTAAGTGAATTCATTGATATAAAGCTTCTCTGCCAAATTCTCAGCTGTAGAATCTAGTTCTGCTGAAGAGAATGAATCTGTGCCAGTTTACAGTGTCTGAGTGCCCACGAGTCCATTTCCAGATTCACGGTTTGACTATAATTGTATTTTAACAAGTAAGACAAAATAAGGAAGGATGCGTTATGTGGCATTTTCTTCTACTTCATTAACATGATCCCAGAATAATGGAAATAGGGGGAAAAAATATCACTTACTTAGGCAGCTTCCAAAATTGCAGTTCTGCAAAAAGTAGGGAAGTGAATATTTTAAAACATTGGTAAATTGTCAGGCAAAGTAGCATACATGGAAGAAGAAATGCAAACGGGCATATCTGCACATCTTCACCAATTAATCTGTATTTGTGGGCAATATTCATGCATAACTGCTTTGGTAATATGTGCAAAGGCTTCTGTTTGCACAGTCAGCTGTGTGGTCTGGCAAAAAATTGTGTGGGGTTTGGGTAAGTTTTGCTTTGCATTATGCTCACTTGACTGTACTTAACTGTGCACACATCAAAAACCTTTCTCTTCTATCTAATAGAAAAATGACTTTGAAAGATACATAGTCATCTTTCTTGGATTTATATGAAGATGAAGATAATGTCAAGCAGTTTGGTATATTCACTTATGAATAATTCATCCAGCTGCACAGACTTATTTTTTATTATTATTATTAATTATGTGTATATAGCTGGAAAAGACAGGAAGGCTGTAACCGCTGCCTCATGAGAGATGCTTGAAGTTAAGGATTTGGTTAGACCAAGATGTGTGATATGAGAAAAGGAAGATAGACAGTGATAAATAGATCAGAGGACACAAAGGCTTTAATAATGTTGATAGGGAGAAATATCGTTTGTTTGAGATGATAGCCTTGGGAGCACAGGCTACTACTAGCTCCTTTGCTTTCTGTGAGCTAAAGATATTCAGAGTAGGCATTAGGGCACAACTGGCTTTCATATGCAAAACAATCTTGGTATGGATATCGGATCTGAATT